GCAGGAAAAGGTGGATTATTCAACGAATGCAGACAAGCATTATTGGGGCAGATCTTTTCCACTCACACTGAAAAGAGTGAGTCACACCATTTCCATTGGCTTCGCTAGTGGAGGACTATAGACTATACACTACTATTTTCTGTATCTGGCCCACAGTCTCCAGCCAGTAGCAGAAACGGAGCAGGAACTCTTGAAGGCAAATATACATCTGAATATTGCAATCCTAGGTCATGACTAGTTAGTAGAGAGAATCTGGTTCCATGTGGAACAGAATTTCAAATCATAAATGGGGATCTGATCTGAAACCAGAGGAGGGGACCTATGGCAAGACCATCCATGCATAATACAGCACACTGAAAGAAAATGATATCACAGTGTTTGCCCTCTTGAAAATGAACCTGATTAAAATAGGAACATTCATTCTCTTGTGTTGAAGATAAGCATCCAGTCACTGCCTCTGCCAAATCAGTCTGGAGCAATCAATGGCTTCATTCTCTCCTAAACCCGTTTTTCAGGATGTATCCATTTTTTAAAAAAAAAGTCAAATAAACAAGCAAACAAAAAATCCAAAGGGTGATAAGGGTGATAACTGCATGATTCACAGTGTTTATAGATACCACCATAAATATTACACAGTTCTATAAAAGGAAAACTGCCCAGCATTTGAACTAGGTTTTACACACATTTACTTATGTACATACAGCTTTCTATTTCCAGAGTACAGTTCTGTTCATCTAATGGGTATCTTCTCAAGTCCATCATACAAGCTGCAGTGGTTGTGATTCTGAAATACAAACACCAAACAGAATTACTGTACAGCAAGTAACCCAGGTTCTGTTATTATTGTTGTTTATTTTTCAAAGTGAGGGCTCTCCGAAGAGGAGCTTACAATAATCAAAAATCTGGTCCATCATTTTACATGGAGCAGCAGTTTAATACAACAGCAGTTACACTGACTGCAATGGAACAACTCACTGTGACTTACCCTTACGCAACCAGTCCCTTTGGAGTTCAATGAACCTATCTGCATATGCAAATACTACATACAAATTTGCTGAGATTAAAGGCTATGACTTTATATCAGAAAATGTGAAGCAAAAAAAGTCTGCTACAAACGTCAAAATGATCAGAGCTGTGTGAATAACTGATTTCTTGATTCTGTGGCAGCTCTAGAAAAAAAAACTAAAATGTTGAAAAAATGTCTCAAGTCCAGCAAAACGCTTTGTTTCAAAGTTGAGTACGCCTCTCTAGTTTTCAAATTTAAGGAGGATTTTGTAATGAAGCACCATATTGAATTTTAACTTTTATACCCAAATAACAATATATTTTTGCTTTTTTATTTCTAATGCAGGCAATTTAGCACACTAATGATGAATTTGCAAAACACTTCAGTAATGATGAATCTGCATTTTTCATCCAGCTCTTGTGTATCAGGAGTGTCAACAGCACACATGTAAAATTAAAACAATGGTACTAACAGCTTCACACAGCATTTGCCCTTTATTTTAAAATTAATTTATTTATCTATTTGTACTAACTTTCAGACAGATAAAACCATATGCTCACAATTAATTTTCAGTGTGTTTCAGTGTTTTGCTGAATCATAGCCTTCACCAAGAGTATGTACATTATTATGTATCATTTCTTTATAATGGAGTCATATAAATTTCACATTTAAATTGTCTTCTGGGCCTGACTAGGTCTGCTCCTTAATGATACTTTTCTGATACAAACAAGACATGGACCTTGTACACGTTTAATTCCTACACGAATAATATTCTGGTGATATCTTATGCTCATAATACAAGAGGGGAAATGCCTTAAATGGACCTCTAAAAGCTGGAACCCTCAGTGTTGAGGTTTTGTTCATGTGGTTTCTCAGTTCTGAAGCTTTCTCTTTAATCCCTTAACCTTCAGAAATGGCTGTCTTCTAATGTGGTAAACTAGTCTAAAATTCAGGGTGCCATTTCAAGAGGAGAAAAGTAGTTAGGTGCCTTTCTTCAACTCTTTCACACTAAAGAAAAACCCGGTGTTATTATGAACACCTTGTCCAATTCTCCCAGAAAAGGAAGGAAAAATGCTTATCCTTAGCATATAGGTTATTTCAGACAGATAACTTCACATAATATGCAAAGGAAAGAATTAAGCCCATTATATCTATCTCATAGAACAACAGAAGCCATCTTTCTCTTACTGAGAAAGTGCTTTTGCAAGAAAATATTATAAATTCTTTGCAAAGGGAGAGACAGCTGTATGAACACAAAGGCAATGGATGGGCCAGGAGAGGAAAAAGCTCAAGGATCTGTTACTCAGCGTCTGTTCTCACTTCTGCTCCTACCAGTAGCCAGTAAGAAAGGCACACACCTGATCTTTGTCCTTCCCAGATATATCTACAGCATGATCATGCCTTTGGCACTGCTGTCCACTCTGTGTGTCCTCTGAATACCCTCATGTTAATCCCACAAGCTTTCAGAGATCAAGTATTGTATCACAGGAGGATACTTCAGGTCAATCCTCCTCCAGCTGTCTGACGGGAGATGCTCTGGTTCCTCTGTTAGCACACGTGCCAGTGGGCTGGAATAGTTTACAAACAACAACTCCTCAGCTGCTCTGCACTTTAGGGGGATGTTTTCTTTGCGCTGAACGTTTACAAGTGGCCTTCTTGCCCTTCAAGCAAGGTGCTAGTCACATGGCTATTACTTATGGCAATGAACGCGTCCTCAATATGACGACTACTAGCTGCTCTAGCTAAGCATATAAAGTTAGTATTAGCCTAAGGTCTAAGAGGAGAAAACTTAGTCTTAAATCTGTGATCACTGATGAACAAGGTCTTTGCAGTGAACAGCTTTACAAAGCCATACTGATTGTGCAATCAAATGATCTTGCTTCTGAATCAACTGATAACTGTGCTCCAAGGAAAACAAGCGGGCACACTGGGGCATTGCTGCTATGAGGGTTCTATCCTGTGCTTTAGTACACTCCCCTACACTGATCTAGAGCGCATTTAAGATCCTGCAGCAGAATCCTCATGAGCTAAGTTGATACAAGAGGGAGTGTGGTACCAGCATCTTAACTATTATGTTGAATAACTAGCTTTAAATGCCAGCCATACAGAAAACATACTCTTACAAATGATTAATTTGGCAGAATTATTAAAAATTATGCAGCTGGCAAACTTGCATTCAACTTACTAATTTCCTTATGACTTTTTAAGGAATGTATTTTTATTTTGGCCTGTTCACATACTATAGTGGTTCTGTGTCACAAGTTCCAATACCAGAAACTGCATATTCTTGCTCAAGAAACTTTTTACACTGCAGCAAAATGCATGTTTTTAATTTCATAAATATCCACTAGAAAAGAAGATACAGCTAGGTAGAGATAGAAACAAATTTAACACATTTACTAAAAGTAAGTTGAGTGCTCAGAGGTCCCTCCTGAATGAACGTTCAAGCAACCAAATTTAACTTGCACAAATGCTCACCAAAAGCAAATTTTAATTGCTCAGGCTTGTGTACACTCCCAAGAAGAGCAGGTTTATTTCTTATGGGATGGGATGCTGCCTGACACAGCAGGACAACAAGGTTTCAAGAATTCATCATCACAGCAGTGACAGAGAAACAATTACAAGCCAGACAAAGATAAAGCGGTAAACAGATACACATACATTTTGGGTGAAGGCAATACACAAAGGAAATATTTTTAATTGTTTAAAACTCCTTGCTCCAGTTATCTGTCCTATGGGTACAGCTTCTCTTACCCTTCTCTGCTACTTTATTACCAGGCTGATTGCCTTTGATTATTTTGATATATTGTATCCCCACCTGTGATGTGGGGATGCAGCTGGGAGGTGCTGCATAAACAACTGACAGAAGGTTATCTTCTGTCCCCCAAAAGTTTGCAATATAAATCAGTCTAAGCAATATAAAAACTTCTCATATGACTAGGTCACAGGCCCGATGGCTAACTTGATCCTCTTCTCATCTTGATACAAAAATACACTCATCCAGAAAAGAACAGAAATAAGTGTGGTTGCCTTGTCTGACCGATCACAACTAACCTTTTCACCTTGCAAACATCCATCGTGTTTTATATTCGAGTGATAAATATGTGAGTCCATTCAGATACAACCAATCTATTCCTTCACTCTATTTAGTTATAACATTTACCATTGTACTGCCTGAGAACAAGAGGTCTATATACAGCAAACACACCAGCAGCCGGAAAGACTCTATTTTTGATCCCCGGTCTATAATGTCATTATTTCTTTTTTGGTCTATTTTGAAAAAAAGCTGTTGTATGATCATATGTGTTGTATGTTATTCTGAATAAGGTAGGATAAAGTCAGTATCATGCCCAAAGAAAAAAATTCCCAAGAAATGGGTTGAGCTTCAAAAAGCTCCTGCCCCATTCGCCCACCCTCACAGACTTCTGCAGCAGTAGCAAACTGCTTTCTCTGAAGTAGAGAGGAACCCTGAATAACTGAAGGTCAAGTCTTTCAAAACTATGATAAATTCTGCATTGTTCAGAAGAGAACACAGAGCCAGTGTGGCCTTGGGATCACTTCCGTTATAAATTTTTGAGGAAATGCTTTGCTCCATGGTTATTCTACAATTGGTTGCAACCCTCCAAAATTTCCCCTATTATTCTCAGCGACACTGTGTTTTGTCGCACATAAAATTCTGGGTTCTGGTCTCAGCCCACAGGATGAATCATTGCCTCTAGACTGCGGCTTGAGGCCAACACCATCAGGGTGCTCTGAAGCCACAACACAAGAAGTTAGGCTAGTGGTAGAGCAACACAAAGCTCAAGTTTTAAATCAACAGAGCTAAGGCTCAGATATTTTCTTCCTTCTGATCACAATGTCCTGTATTTTGCCAAGATTTAACTTCACACCATGGCTATCTGAACATGGATATTGTGTGCTTTCAGAAGACAGGGAACGGAGATAAGTTTGCCACACATAAGCCACTGGTGAAATCCCTGCCAATCAAATACTATCAAGTGATACGCAATCTGCTTGTGGACGTTTACGGTTTGCAGAAGAGGAGGCTAATTTATTCAGATACACTACTTTATGACAGATAATCCTCACCTGAATGACTCCAAATGTTTTTAGCTTGGCAGAAAGACTTCTATACATTATTACGATCACAAGATTTCTAATCTATATCACTTTTTTATTACATTGCTTGTGGGGATGGTTCTTGAGATACACTAAAGGACACAAAAATATCTTGCATCATTTTTTCACTACTTTTGGAAAGAATCCTAAACCTGCAGTGTTCCACATTTGGTCAAAAGCATGCAAGATGAAAGCTTCTTTTTTCTAAAAACGGTTAATTACAGAGACAATATTTCCTGAACATCCTAAACTTCTTTCAAGTTTCATAATAGGCTGAGTTTTTTTTCATTTTGTCTAGAAAGATTCATCCAACTATAGTCCAAGAGCCAAGTCAGGTAAAAAGTTCAACTGTTGATAAAAACCAAAAGCAGCTAAACTAGTCATATAATCCACCTGAACCACTTTTCAGATCTCATTCCTTTTTATACTAGGGACTTTCAATCCTGTGCTATGTATGTGCAGCAATCTTGAGTATTATCCATGCTTAATAATACAATGGTGGATGATGATGGAAATGGAACTTTCACTGGCAAAGATTTGTTTTGCTGGTATAGTTTAAACCACTGGAGCAAGTGGAGTAACCTGTCAAAAGAAAGCAATTTTTTGATACTGCTGAGTCTTCCATTAAGATTTTTGATAGTGTAATTATGTTTATAAGGGAAGGATTTCTCAGCATTCCTAACCCTAAAAGCTATGAGAGAAAACAAAGAAAACATAGGTCAAGCCTAAAATATGTAGAAAGTAGGATAACATAAGGTCACTTTGTACCTCTGGTTTGAAACATAACACATTGCAGTGCTGATCCCTGTTTGAAGAAAGCACTGAAGGTACCCATAGTCATGGTCTTGCCTGTGGATGACTCCACTCAGCCAGGGCTGCTTGTAGCTTTTTCTTTATAGACTACAGACACATCAAGAGACAACATAAGCACTCACGTTCAATCTTACCGCCTGTATTTTGGACAAAATTTTCAGGTTTACAATTAATGTTTGCCTTTCTGCTTCCTATAGCCACTGGGCTTTCCAGATATGGTGACTCTACAGAAACAGATAAAACCTGACTGAAGGCGCTTCTGGCAAAATTAAGAAACATCGAGTGTGTCATTTGTTTTCTACAGGCATCTTTTGGAGTTACAGGAAAGGTTACATAATACACTACCCAATGTTTGTAATAACCTTGTACCGGAAAGCAAATATCAACAATACATAACAACAGTGATTAAATCTTCATCATGGAAGTACAGACCTGAGGCCGTAAAGCACCGTTCCATCCGGATGAAGGCGAATCATTCGATTCTTCACGGTAACGCCATGCACAAATGATTTCTTGTCATTTAAGAAGTAAGTATCAGGCACCCAGAGTTGATCCGCCACTCTGTTATCAAGCGTGAGGTTGAGAGGTATGCCAGCGTAAGCCAGCCTCTTATCTCTCCAGTACTGTTGAAAATACATAGTCAAAGTGTAATCCTGCCAAGGTAAAAAAGAGAAGCACAACAGTCAATCATACTTGGTGTAACTAGCTTATTTTACTGTTGGTTTAATTTTAATTTGAAATATTCAGATCACTTCTTAAATAATTCTACTAATTCAAGTATCACTCTAGCCTAAGGCAGCATTTCAAATCTTAAGAAATTCAGCTATTATTGGTATGTTTTGTCCTGCTCCTCCATTTCTTTCACTTAGTCGCCCTGACAACTACCCAAAATTATGATGTTTGTGGAATGATAAATGAGGTAATAGGTAAACACTGCCACCTTCCCCATTTTTAAAACTGAGAGATGACTGGAAAAACATTCACTGTATTTTGAAGTAGTATGCGAGATTGTATCTGAAAAATAAGCTGCAAAGATGTTGTCTATACATGCGCCTTTGTGTGAGACTGCACCTTTCAGTGACATAAAGATTTTCTCATCAACAGGCTACATCGGTACTTAGAAGAACAGTAAATTGCAGTAAAATCCTACTAATGCCAATGTCTGGTTTTCATACCTTTGTCGGTTAAGGTTCACGGTGTCTGCTAAGAGCTGTGATCACTAACATAAGAGCCATGGATAGAGAAGCCTAATACACCCATTTAAAAATTCTTTATTTCATTTCAGAATTTTCTAACTTTACTTGCTCATGTTGTAATAAGGCTATATTGAAACACTTTGAAGGTCTTAGACAATAGGCCTCATTCACTAGCTTCATGGTATTATTAAAAAAAAAGGGCGGGGGGGAACATTTTCAAGTTAAGTAACAACGACATTGGAAAAAAAAATCACACCTAATATCAACATTTCCTGTTGGGAAAGAAAAACCTTCGTCTTTTCTTTCCCTCATAACTTTCAAAGTGTGGAAGGACATTTTCATTTTTAGAAAGCCTGTTTTTATGCATGAGATGAAAAAGGTGAACATCTGAAAATAATACTTTCTTATACATGGAAATTAATATTTACAATTAAAGAAAACACTGGGTTTAGGTCTGATAATATTGCCATATTTAACAATGAAAAAAATGAGGCGGTAAGTACAGGCCATTAAAACTCTGATTTTCAAATTACAGAAGTGCTCCAAATGATAAAACTCTTCATGAAACTCTTCACAAACCACTGAGAAATTTATGATGTGATCTCCAAACACATTTAAATATTTAGCAGCAGGTGTGCAAGCCACAGGATACCTATATTTGCATCTGGTTCTACAAGCTGGTGATGCAAAACCCCTCAGGCTTGCTGCTTGTTTGGGAAAAGGATGCTCAGGCTTTCTAAGTACGGCTGTTGGGAACGGTCCATTCTTGTAATAGGTTTCGTGTGGAGACAACGCAATTTCAGGCACTTATCCTGCCCTGCTTCCCTCATGCCCTACAGCCTTTCCTTGAAATCAAATGAAACTTGAGCACACCCCTCACACTCAGAGCCTTTACATTTTTTATTCAGTGATTCATCCTCTTTAATGAGGGAGCTGCTATAGCTTTAAGAAATCAATTCTAATTGCTTAGAAAAATAAATCATTACAGATATTAATGACAAGCTGTTCCCATTGTAGGAAACTAATAGGAGACCTTTGAAAACACAAGTGCCTGGTGATGGGAGAAAGGAGCCCGTGTGGAACTGCCTGGAAGGAAGCTCATTCTTCAAAACTCAAATCCAACACGACTGCTCAGGAGAACGTGCTCCAACCTTTTTGACAGAAGCTTTTTTCAGTGGGACTAATCGTCCCTGCTCATCGCTGAACGAGGTACGTGCTACACTGGATGCAGTTGTCTCACTTCCATTAGCACATCAAGAAGACCAAAACTCTCCTCATATTCTCTGCAACCAATTGTCTGGCACTGATGCATTAGAATGAATATCCTCTGCCAGCTCCGTTTAACCTTAATTAAAGCTTGTTTCTATTAATGTCCAAAATTTGTTATGTGCTTGGCTTCTATAACGGTTTGCACATCAATGTCAAGAAACTGGGGATTATAAAAGCTGTGGACACATTAGCAGTACACCAAAAGCTCACTACGTATAAATGCACAATATATGTGCATAATAATACAAAACAGAAATAAAGAGACGGGGTGGCACTGCACAGCATTGAAAGAAGTGAACCAGCCAGCCCTAAAATATAAGAGAAGCAGTACACTGGAGCAGAAGAGAGCTTTAGGCTAGCCTCCTTTTTCCTTTGGCTTGAGATAAAATACATGTTAACAGCTAATGAACAGAGTAATTAACTAGCTAAGTAAAACATATGTAACAACACATGCAGTAATAGTCAGTCATTTTATTTATTTATTTAGCTATGTCAGGGAACAACAGAGAAACAAGTTTACAAATTGCATACAGAAATAGCAACATCCAGCAAATGTCAAGAACCTTCAGTGTCTTGACTGAAAGACAAACTTCCAAAATACATCCTCTAAGGTATGAATTTCATTAGTGTTTTCTCAATTAACCTTTACTTCTTATTTCACCTTAACCTTAAATAAAAAATGCCTCTCTATACATCTGCTAATGTGTATGACTATACTTGCACATATTGAAAGCAATGATACCTTGAAAAGTTATTTAAAAAAGAAATACGTCATTGCATGCGAAGTATCAGCTCATTCCCAGTTCTTTGCTTGGTATCTACTAAGGAAAATGCTCAAGCAGCATCTTCTGCAATGGCAATATACTATCCAGAGGCACTGACACATCTCCCCAACCCCATTCTCTTCACTTTGAACAACAGGCATGGCAGAAATAGAGTGCCCAAGAAAGCACATGTGCTACCACACACCTTGAAGGATCACTGTACAATTGTGCTCCATCAGGCTGACCTGCTCTGAAGACGACAGGATAGAAAGAATGAATATGAACCATGCTTGTTGACCATCACACTTTTTTCTGATCACCTCAAAGCAAAAAGCAGCAGCAAACCCGTATTAGAACTGCACTGAAACTACCTGGTTGTGCAAGGAACGATAGAGTGAGCAGGAACGGCCAGAATCCTTAAAACCCACAAGGTTGTCAGCTCTCTTTCTTTGATTAGCTAATTTACTAGGCTTCACAAAGGAAGTTTTCCCCTTTTCTACAATTTAGAGGAAAATGCAAAAGTGTTTTGAGCATGGACTGGAAAAATGCACTACGTATTTCTCGGGTAAAATGAGAAAATGGACTTTTACCCCTAGGCAAGCAGCCTACAAAGTTTATTAAGGGCTACCTTCCTCCAGGGGAGCTTATGGTGAGTAGCTCTGATATAGAGGTCAAAAGTGTAGATGTTTAAAGCTAGAAGAGATTAATCCCACTACTGTTACTGTATTAGGGTGCTATTATATGTCAAAGATGACACAGAGTTGCCAGTTTTAGGAAATTCTAACTGCTGCACAGAGCAGTGGACAATTTTCTCAGCAGCAGAGACCTCCATAAATCATATTTTTTTCCTACACAATACCATGACACATCCAAGGTCCCCCTTTCCTCTCTCCAGTTCCTCACAGTAATAGACACTTCAGGTCAAGAATGGCAATAAAATCACTCAAAGCCCTGACAGAAGGACAAACACAGTGCTTCTGAAGCACAGGAGAAATGTCCTCAAAATGGGAAAAGCTTGGCTGCAGAAGCAACATGAGCTCTCTTTTGTGTATTCAAAGACCATGGAACATCCTAAAGCATAAAGAATGGTGACAAGCATCCTTAACTTCCTAGCACTGCCACAGTGCCACTAACGTAAGGAAAGGCACAAAGAAAGGTGTGCTGGTGTTTTTTCAGCAGTTTTCCCTGCGGGGGGGGAAAAGAAAAGAAAAAACTCAAATAGTAGATAACACTTGGGCAGGAATTTAGATAGAATGGTAGAGAGGCCTCTATCACAACTTAAACAGAGCATAATATATCTATATGTGTGTATTAGATGTGATTTCAAAACATCTGAAGCAAGAATTATAGACTTACAAATATTATAAGATGCTAACCATATACACAGAAATTTTTAAGCATTTTCTACATGATATTTGTCTCTTCACAAACTGAACATACCATGTAGGAAGCACACCTATGACTTAACTACAAAGCCACTTCACACAGGCAGAATGTACTATAGTATGCTACCCTACAGTACCTAATGTACTGACTATAGGACTAATGAACAATAAATACTAATATGCTGTAATACTAAAAGCAAACGATAATTTGTTTTCTATTACAGGGTTTGTTATCTTTAGCTTTTCTCTCCTGCACTCAATAAAAGGGAAAGAAAAATTTAAAAATATCGTTTACTCATCAAAATAAAATTAACAGCATTTTAACAGCAATAATGCTCTAAAATTGACTATCACTGTTTACAGTCTTGGTGTGTTATGTATCAAGGATGTTAAAGTTTTCCATTAGCTGTAAAAATGTTGTGTTTCTTCAAAATGACTACTAGATGGAACACTGTAATTAATAATTATGATGGAACACTGTTAATATGGTAGTTAATAAGAAATTATTCATACAATACAAATAAATATACTGAAAATTACTGTAACTATTGGAAAAAGTTATACAAAAAAGAACTATTCTGCTGTTTGAGAGGACAGACTTGTATCTACTTGAAATTCAGATTCCTGTCTTAGATTTGCCTTTGAATCTAAATTCACATCCTGGTTTTCTTGACCAACAGACAAATGTGATTATTACCACTGGCTTTTGGATTATTTTTTTTTGATGAGTTAATAATGTAAATATTCAGTGGGTAAACAGATGGGTTGAAAATCCATGCCTTAGTCTCTGTATAACTTCAAGGTTCCTTCCCTCATCTTCCACATAATTTCAAAAATTAGATACGGCTGCTGTAGTGTACGGAACTATTTCTGAAGCGTTGATGACTGAGTTACATTCTTCCCAATCAACACAAAGTCAATTGCAAAGCCAAACTCATGAATCCTATGCTTTGACAACATAGCTGTAAATCTGTCCCCCTGCTATACACAGATGAGACCTGAGAAATAGATTCCTGCATACATTAATTCACAT